TGCCACCGATGCACATGTAAACATACATATATTACAGTGTCTGAACAAAAACAGTTGAATAATAATAATAATAGTAGTAGTAATAATTCATTTATAATACTTCAAACTGTGTCAATAAAGTTATCAATTTCATTAAATATCATGAGTCACCTTGAAGTCAATTAGTTGTCTGCTTGTTGTTCGTCGTCGGTACACTAAAATGTATGTATGTGCATTTAGTACCTTCATACATCCAGATCACTTTATATTAGAAAAGGACAAAATTCTTTTGTCTACTCAAATTTCTCAACATATAAAAACATTTTAAGCGAAAATAAAGATATAGCTAGCAAAGAAAAAAACTGAATATACTACTGTAAAAATATAAATAGACGTATATATATATATATATACCCTGAATGAGTCTTTGAAATAGTTCAAAGATTAATGTCTTTTGTGAATAAATAATTGACACAAACAGAAGTCTCGAGATAGATAAGTTATTCATCACAACTTGTGAAGGGTATACAGAAACGAGACTAGGTAGAGCTGATGTCTATATATATATATCCTGACCTACAGCTGTAGAATTTTACAACTGATAAAGTTATGCCTTGAAATAACAACAACAACAGGAAATAAACAAATACAACTTACATAAAAAATAAAGTGAAAACATGAGTAGTAAAACAAAAGTATTTTTTCTTTTAAAAAAATAGGTGTACTCTGGAGAATTTATTTTCAGCAAAAATTTCAACAGTACATTTTTACAGGATTTCATCATGAGTTGACATTAGTTAGAGAACCATTGGAAAACCAGTCAGGGAGTATTGGGCAGCTGTTTCATTCTAGCTTGGGACTCTTCAATAGTACGCATCCAACACTACGGTTCGAACCCAGGACCTTCTGGTTACAAGGGAGCTCGTATACCATTAAGCCACTGGGGCCCAATCCAATGGACGATGAATTCTAACTTCTGTCAATTTACGACATAGCGCGACCGCTAGCCAATGTCTTCGGCGAGTATTTGTCTCACACCCGACCTGCTGCACCCTACTGGTTACGACTTCTCATTAGAACCCTAGGTAACTATCTACCTGAATAGGGCAAGTCGCTAGTGAGCATCTCATTGTTATTCAAGTGTTGGTTGTAGGGATTTGATCGGTTACAGGATTTCATTGAAAGTTTCCATGAATCTGATTAAATAGACCAGCCTTTGCATTCACTTTGAATTATCCAACTTCAACAAGGCACTAATGAATTTCTAAGTTATTAGTAGTCAGTCCATTGAACCTGTAGGCTATTTTACCAGTAAGCAACATTTATTAAGCATAAATCGAATTCTTCAAGAGTTGATTTGTTTTTCAAGTTTGACTATGGACCGATATGAGTTAGAGAACCAATGAAAATCACTGAGTACTGAACAGCTGCTGTTTCGTCCTAGTTTGGGACTTATCAGCAAGCAGTTCTCTGATTCATTAGTAGGAATGCTTTCCAATCAACCAGTCATGTAATCCAGAGTTAGATTTACAGCCGGAAGACAGAAAATATTGGATGTGATGTTAGCAACTTCACCTAGTAAAAACAACTCCACCATTACTTCAGTCTTTATTTCTACTCGGAAAGAAAAAAAAAATTTTGGTGGATTTTAAAAATAGAATTCAACATGATTTTTAGCACAATATAGACTCCTTTGTTCGGATAAATTGATTTTGTAAAAAAAAAGACTCAAAGTGTTTTTCATGTCTACTGATTGATTGTGAGACATCAATTAAACTAGTGTTTAATCTTTTTCATTCTCTTTTTGATGGACTGCTTTCATCACTAATTTATTATGCAGTGAAGACTTTAAACTGATTATTTTCATTTTTTACGGCATCGTGTTCCCATGGCATTTAGGCGCTTATTTCATTTAGTATATATATAATACAGAAAAAAAAAATACTATATTCATTACTGTTTATTTTATAATAATCTTTTTGTTAAAGTCAAGTGTATACCATTCATTGTTGATTGAATGGACAATAACAGTGTTAAACACAACACTGACTATGTTGATTTTGGATATATGTATATGTTTTAAATTAAGAATTTAGGTTATCACTAACTGACCGACAAAGCTGTGATATCCTCTCCTATCATTTTAACCTTTGACCTATTTGTATATATTTTATGAGTATATGTGTACTAGACAGATGAATAATAATAATAATAAGTAAGGATATATATGAAAGTTCTAAACAATGAATTATGCGTCTAATAAAAGTTTTTGTTCCAACTGCTCCTCCTCCATGCGTCGGATACATCAAAGTTAACTGTTGATAAATAGACGTTGTCTCTTACAGACAGCTGGTTGGTTATACACGCACATACTACTACTAGTATTATGATTAGTAGTAATAATAATAATGGCAATAACAGTATAGACAATAAATGATGTGAATACGTTGTTGATTAATTTACTCTCAATTTGTCTATACAAATACAGTAGTAATATAGTTCTCTGTTGTTGCTACTATTATTATTATTTATTTTAATAACTTATATGCTGTGTTCTTATACCCTTGTCAAACCTCTCGTTATTACTAGTGATAAATGTAGTTGAACAGTCAAAATGTGATCAGATGCTAGACGCTACAAAACAAAAAGCATTTTTTTTTGCTTTCCGTTGAATATACATATGTATGCTTTGGATATTGGGATGACTGAGTTGTAGGTGGGTGTAAACATCTGTTGGTCTAAACACATTGTCTTTTTGTCCATTTCTCTCTTTCTTTATTTATCTATCCATCCTATGGGTGACGTGCTTTTCTCATCGTTTTTTTTGTTTTCACGACGTGAAAATGATTAACAAGATGTCTTATTTACATCAAATAAAAATAGGAAGTAGAACTTGTTGGATTGCTACATAGAGGTTGAATAGTAGCAAGTATGCCTTATAACCTGATATTCTTCGACGAAATCTTTCAAGTCTGTGGTAAATTGATGTGAGTGGAGTGATGTTAGAGTATGTGCCGGTTCCAATGAACATGTCTTGCTAGTCTGTGGTGGTAGCAACACGCTTCAGAGTTAAATGTATCAAATTACATCTTCATTATTTCATGTTAGTATGTGTGGCTTACTGAGCATCAGAAATATTTCGTCTTCAGTAATTAATATCCTAGTGGTGCTCATTCAAAATGGTATGGATTACAGGTATGATCGCCAGCTGACTTCAGTTAGAGAGCCTCTGCAAAACCTAGGAGTAGTGGACAGCTGTTTCATCCTGGTCTGGGAACTCTTCGTCAATACGCATACACCGAGATTTGGACCCCGTAACCTTCTGGTTATAAGATGAGCTCGTAGACCAACGGGATCCACCACCAAATAGGATAAGAGAACAGTTACTCGTTTGTGAGATCGGCTGGCTATTGTACTATATACATCGCGAATTGGCAGAAGTTGGAATTTATATGCCATATCATCGCCTGTTCAGTGCCATCTGATTTTCAAACACTTTTTCTAGCTGATATTGAATTATCACGAAATTCACCTTGAAATGGATAGCCGTTGAATTGTTAATTTATCTTTCAGCTATGGAATTATATCAGATAACTTAATAATGTAAAGATAAGACATGTACATAAGAAGTAACTCTGAAAGAATTAACATGCATCAAAATGTTTCCTTCTACAGGTTCTTCTGTCATTGAAACGCTCTAGATAATAAGTTCCAATATGAAGTATAAAGATTAAAATGCTTATATTTTCACTTTGACTAAGCTGTCTAGTTTATGTGGAGATTGGTGATGAGAAATCCATAACTATTAAGCCAGCGTAATGACGGGTCATTATATAAGAGATAATTAATTAGACTGATTTATGACAGATACTATGGTATCGGTGCTTTAGTGGTAGAATACTCGTCAACCACTTACTTGGTCCGGGATTCGATCGCCGGTCGACTCATTCCTCATCCTCGCTTAACCTGTAAAGAGAGGAGGTTTCACGCGGGACTAACAACTCAACCCTTAAAAAATAAACACCACTGCGACTGAAACTTCAAAGCTCAAGCTTGAAGCTGTGCCCCCCCTTGGAACTCATAGGAATAAAATGGGAAAATAAAAAATGATAGAAAATATTTCGGAATTTCTCTAGCTTGATTGAGAGGTTTTTGAAAAAATACCTGACTACGAAGTTACTTTCATTTACAGACTGGTGTTAGCTAGAAAATCATATGAAGCTAAGAAGAAGTTTGAAAGTTAGCATCAACGCCTGTTCGTTATACTACATGGAATGGAGTTCGTGACCGTCAGATATTCAGCGATGTTTACAAACTTATCTCACCTCTTCAAATAATTTGATTTTCATTGAAATTCATCAATGAGTGATTATATTTACATTCAACTTGGTCGGTATTAATTATCCAAGCTTTTCAGTAAAAACCTTCACGGTATCTATCTCAAAACTAATGTGACTAGAAGTCTACTCTAGATAGTTTTAAAAACGTACTTCAGTTTATATTTGTGGATGGTGACTAGCAGTGGAATCCAGGATGTACGTTTCGTCCTATTTGAGACTCGTCACTGGATGTACCTGCATTCCACAGTGAGTGATGATGTCCCCACCAAGACTCGAACCAAGTACCCATAGTCTCAAACGCCAAAGCGTTATTCAGATGACGAGTCACAAATAGGCCAAATGCGCATCCTGGATTCCACTGATAGTCACCATCCACAAATTAAATTCTAATTAAATGCCCAAACATCGTCGAAGCATCTGCACAAGAAGCTGATATGTCAACCTGAGACCGAGCACTTCGATTCAATCAATCGACGGGAAAATCTAAAAATTCAATTAAAGTACTTCAGTTTACATTGAATAATCGATTGATTCAAAGTGGTGAAACGACAGCTACAGAATAAGTGCAATGAACTAACCACTATGATCTTATCATATTCACTTTTAAAATAACATTCAATTTGAATAATGTCCAATTATTATTTGTTTGTTTATTCATTTTTCTTTTCCGTTCAAAAATAGACTATCCAACATACGATCAAGAATCAAATATGTCAGATAATGGAAATAAACCAAATCAAATGTTACCAATTTATTGTTCTATTATGGGATTAATAATTATTTCATTACTTGCCTATGTAGTCTATAAACTCTGGAAGCAAAGAGAAGCTTCAAAAAATGCAAAGCTATCTGATGCTTACAATATTGGCTGTAATAAAAATAATCTATTAGACAGAACAACTTGTGTAGATAATCATCATTTTCAGCATCATATGATTTCATCAGATTTACTAAATCATTCACCACAGTCTATAACTGAGATTACCAAGGAGGCCAGCAACAACAACAACAATAATAACAATGATCTTATTCTTGGTCATGAAAAAGAACCACTACTTGGAAAATCAGTTGGTTTAAACAATTCATCAGGTAAGTGATAACTATGATGTCTTTGATGATCAATCTCATCTCTCCTTCTGTCATCCTAATGGTGTATGCACTTGAAATACCAGCCAGCTCGTTATACTGTATTAAAAACTCTATGAGTAGGCAGTACTTAGTATGAAAGTAACTCAAATTAGTAAGTGTAGGATGTACAACACATAAACGAAGAGTATACGACAACTCCTTATTACTAGAATAGCTTAGTTTCGCAAGCATAAAGCATCGAAGTGATTCACACTTCATTTTTACCATTGGAAAGATTGATTAGTGAACGAAGAGTATTCATTTCGGCAACTTCTCCATCAAGTTCTACCAGTTATTTGTCCGTAATAATAATTAGAAAAATTATTTTTACAGTCATCTATCGGATAGCAAATAAATTGCGTCGATGTGACAGCGGTAGAATTTGATTTTTTGATTACAGCTTGATTCTACACTGTATTTTTGGTACAAGTATGGAACTTTCAGCATGGATATCGGTAGCCCAAATTTTGCAGGCCGACCATAGATATCAGGTGTGCGTCAGTGGCAGGGGATCGAACCTCGGACCATGTGCATGGTCGGCGAGAGTCCTAACCACTGTGCCACCGACGCCAACCACGCTTAATGTGGTTTAGGGTTCGATCCCCGGCCGATGCACTCCTTTACCTCGCTAAGCCAGTAATAAAACTTGTAAAGAGGGTTAACAGTTTCATGTCTTACACTTTTCCATCACATAAAATGTGGGCCAAATAAAATATCGTAGAGTTTTTATACTTACGTCTTATATAACTGTTTATACTCCTACCAGATAAGATGCAAGGAGAGAGTTGGGTATAAAGAGGATGTTTAGAGTCCGACAAAATATTATTCGTCCATTTCTTGCATGATTCTATCTATAACAGTATTAACAAGTTGGTTTGGCGACACCCCACTCTAAAACCTGTACACATTGAACAAACTTATTGTACATTTTACTTGGCTAATGAAATGGAATATCATACAACACGTAGTATCTACAGCTTTCTTGTGCATTTAAACGCTTAAATCATCAAGCCTGTACATTTTACATGAAGTTCCAGTGTTCCACTAGCACATTATGTTAATAATCTTAACAACTTTAGGATTGATCATAGTTATTTTTAAAACTTCCTTAAGTAATGCTTGAATTTCCGTGTACTACACTGAAGTGAAATCGTCAATTTCTATTATAAACTAACATTTTCCTTCATTCTGAGAGCAGCATAGGGCGTCAAGCTTCAGTAGCGGTGGTGTGTTAATTTTCTAAGGGGTGGAGTTGCTAACCTCATGACCGATCTTCCCTCTTTATCAGGCTTACTACTATCGGTGAAACAAGGTTTGGAAGTGTGTAGAGGGAATCGAACCTGGACCACGTGAGGTGTGGTTAGCGAGCATTCTGCCACTGAACCACTCGTATCTATCAATTCATGCTAAAAAAACTAGACTTAATTTGAATCCGGACCTTCTATTTTACAGTTTTATATATATATTTTAATTCCAAATAATGTAATGTTGAAATGATGAATAAACAAAGCTGATAAAATTACAATTATTTTCTGTGATATCAAATTTCTTTTCAGATTGCCTTGAACAACCATTAACAGTGGTCCCTATGAATATACTTGGAGTTATTTGTTATCGTTTATCTCAACATGGATGGCAAGACCTTGCTAATACAATGAGTAAGTTCATTGTTTATTTTTCGCTCCGTTAAAACTACCACTTTTATAAGGTAGATGTATATATTTAAATTTTTTGTTGTAGTATACTTTTGTTGCCTGTTCGCTAATCGCTAGCTGCTATAGTTTTGTGACAAACTAGCATAATCTTAGCAAACAAAACACCTGGGAACTACAAGAAGCTTTACTGTCATTATTGTATTTCTTTGCGTACCAAGTGGAACACAGCGCTTCAAACCTGAGTTTGAGAGTTTCAGTAGCAGTGGTGTTTATTTTTTAGGGGGTTGGGTTGCTAGTCTCACGTCAAACCTTCTCTTTTTACTAGTCTTACTAACGGTTAAGCTACAATAAGGAGTGAGTAGACTGGTGGTCGAACCTCAGAACATGTCAGTGATACGGAATGCTTTTGAACAAGCAAATGCAGAATCATACATATGGATTCTCCGATGATGATTAACCGGGTAGCTACTTAGTCTTAAGTGCAACTGTTAAAATCTTCCGATCAGACCAGCAGTGTGACTATTAAGCTAAACGGATTATGTAAACACATATTTAAGCTGATCACGCAACAGAAATATATATATTAACTCTAACAAAGTATAATTCAAAACTGTAAGCTTCCCAGGATGTCCAAGTGGATTAGCACGTGGGTATAACGATCCTGGAACATAATAAGCAACTCAACTGAATACCGAATACGACTGTTCTCTTTCACATACCTTGTGCTTTAATGACCATGAAGATACCTCAAAGACAAGTTTCCTAGAAAAATAAATCATTTGTATATACTTTCAAGACAAAACATTACGCCCAGATAGTGGTTAGATAAACTAATTTGATTGTTTGTAAGAGGTCGAAGGTTTGGTATGAGACAGAAGTTTGTCCAATGAAATTATCACATTCCCATGACGACATAAATCTGAGATTTAAAAAACACAGTTCACTTGATAACATTTGCAACAGTATTTAATAAATGCTCACTTTCTTGAGGCTATTATGAATATAGTTCAAAGGTAGGGATATATTCTGCAAACAAACAGCGAAGAGCAGAAATGAACTATAATATAACAAATAAAGATATTTTGCTTCTCAATACCAGAAATTTCAAGTTTTTTTAATCTTCTTGGCATTAAGCAAGGACTCTAATATTTTCTGTTAGACATCAGTTATTATTTATTATTGCTCCCTTGGGTTCCAGTGGAACATAGGACTTCAACTGCACGTCTCCACTTGCTTCTGTCTTCTGCTGTACTTTTCACCTGCATCCATGTTAGTCCATACTCTTTCAACTCCTCTTCACACGATCTCCTCTATGTCACCCTTGCATTGACGTCCCACTCGCCGCTTCCCTTTCGAGGAGGCTTGATGCGCGATGTCACCCAGCGTCTCCTCAACGAGTAGTGACCATTCATCTCCACTTTTTCCTGCATATTTGTTGGGCGATTGGTTCTTGTTTTGTTTGTTCCCATAGTTCCTTGTTGGTGATTCTTTCCGGCCCGGCCATCTGATCTTCAGTATAGAGCCAGCGAAGACAGTTGTTGGTTGATAAAGGTCTGCAACAGGTTGTTGGAAATATTCTTTGTGACCCGCCCGCCACGTTTCTAATCCGTTAGAAGAAGTGACTTTACGTTTGTATTGAAAATCAGTTAGTGTTAGTTAACTGTATGCAAAATTTCATTTATTTGAAGCACAAAACTTGGTACAATACAGGGACCAAGAAGATGTGCCACTGAACAATAATCAAACAAGTGTATAAAGGAAAGTAGGAATAGAATGAATAAATGACGTCATCGAGAAATGAAAAAGTAAATCTGCCAAGATCAAACTACATTGTCACATTACTATCAGAAGGCGAAGAAAATAGGAATTAGCAGCATGTTTAGAATTGATTACGATTCTTGGCCATATTCGATAACGTCTCGAGACACCGATTCCAACTGTCTCTCGGACACCACCCAGGGAGTCTTGATTTACCAACCAGTGCTAACCTAACGCAAATATGCTTTATACGACGACACTACTTCATAGACTGACCACCTCTATGCATTTTTCACTCAATCCCAGAGTTAAGTGAAGAGGGAATTGTATGGAAGCTTCTGAGATGACATTCGCAGCACATGTCCAAGCCACCGAGGCTGGTGTTTCGAGATAGCGACACTCAGTGAATAGTGATGATCTCCAATGTGTCCAAACACGCCTTGTTGAACCTCAGAATTGCTCAGACGATGATGCCATGAAGCGCCAGCATGCTATTGCACAATAAGACGATTTTGTCAAAAAAAGTCTTTCTCCAGGAAGCAGATCTACACCAGCATTCCCAAAACACATGTCATTCAGAGCTGACTCCAACATATCATCATTGGTAAAGTTAAAGAGGAGTGGAGAGATTTGAAAACCCTGTCTAACCTCACTATCACTAGTTAATCTCACCACCATGAAGCTTGTTTCAGTCATGTCCTTAAATCAGGTTAAGACACTTTATCCGAATAGGCTATTATGTAACAGGCATATCTATAAGTCGTGTGATACATTTGAATGCTTTTTGTACGACGACTTCTTATGCCAAGAAGCATTGTCTTAAACGCAAATCTATTTATTGTTCTACAGTTAGTTAGTTATTAACACTTTCAACTTAAATGTCTCTCTCTCTTTTCATTCTCCTTATAGATTTGGATACAAATAAATTTGATAAAGCTACGGCATCAAATGCATCGGATTTGTTAACAGCTACATTAGAAGCTCAGGAAACTGTTGAATCGCATTTAAAATCATGTAATCCTGATAACCTTAACAACAACAACAACACAGCAGCAGCAGTAACACTCATAACGATTTAGATACTCTTAGTAATGATTTAATTATGACTGTATCACTTATTCAATATATCTATAAAAATAATATACTTAATTTAGGTCAACTTATTAACTATTTACAAAAATTGAATCGTCCAGATCTAATCGCTTTAATACAACAACAACAACAAACAGTAAACAAATTGAAAACTACTAGCGGTTATTCAAGTGAAGAGAATAAAAGTAGAACAAAGTCAATGAAATCCATGAAAGAGAATTTTTCAATTGAAAACTAATCATACAGCCAATTATCATTATTATTATTATTATTATACATTACCAGTAAATAGGTAGAAAATTAATTCTTTCAGTAAAGCCAGTTAGTACACCACTTTCACAACACTATATACATCTCTTATCACAGTGTACTAAAAAGAGATCTCTTCAATTCAATGTTCCTTTTGTTTTGTTCTACTAACAACAGTCCAGTGAAACTAAGTCAAGTCTTTTTTTTGTTGTTGTTTCTTCTTCTTCAATCCTTTAAAGTTAACAGCTGTCACCAAAAACAAGTGAAACCAGTGATGAATTTTAGTGTGAGAGACAAAAGGAATTATTAAAACAAAAAAAAAACAAATAAAAAATAAAATAGCTTTTCTACCAAATTGATTTTTTGTTTTAGGAAACTTAATGCATTTCAAAAGAAGAAAAAGAAGCAGAAGAATTTGTAAAACGCCAACTAGCCTTGCCAAGAAAACTTTTTCTCACATTATGTAATTATTACTTATATATATATATATAATATAAGTATCCTTGAATTTATCGCTCCTTCCCTCTCTCTCTGTACATTTCTAGCCTTTATTTATTTACGCTTTATATAAATACTAAGAAGTTGCTTTAAAAGGTGTGTAATTTTGAACTGAATAACTCATTTTTTTTGGAAAATTTCAATTAAAATGTAATTTTGTTTCACATACGTTCATTTACTTTTCTAGAATTTTTAAATGTTAACTTCACTGGAATTTTCAAAGTCAAGTGATTCAAATTGTAAAAAGGAAAATATATATGAGAATTTTGATGTGCCTGTCTTCCCCTACAGGAAGTTTTATATATATATATATACATGATATTGCATTACATATACATAATACATATATGTATGTATATCGATATGAGTATTTATTTCTAAAGTGAAAATAAACAATAAAGCATCTTAACTAACTAGTAGTTGTTTAACTACTTACAATCTCCTATTTATACATACACTTGTCAGCCGGTGATTAAGGCAGAAAGAAAAACATTAACAACATTCGTTAATAAATTATTATTACTAATGCTTTTACTACTTCCATTATTACACAATTACTAACGAACTGATACTACTACTACTACTTATCAGTAGTATTCATATCATTTATGAGGGAAAAAAAATGAGTATTCATTGTTCACTGAATAATAATAATAATCATAATGATAATACTCTTTATGCAACTGTTGAATTATTTTTTCTTCTTAATTCACCTTAATTCATTCATCATATATAATACAAACATATACATTTGTTGTTCAAACAAAATTGTACATAATGAGAATCGCTTCATAAATCAAATCATCTTTTCTTGTTATATATTTATATGTATGAAAAAGTTATTTAAAAAAAAATACATACATATACATATTCCTTTTCTCTTTTTCTACTTGTCTAATTCTTTTCTTACCTTTTTTCCCACTTAATGGACTAAAACAAACAATTTGTGCTGAATAAGATGTTGTGATATCATTGTTTATTTCGTCAGTATCTCTCATCAACTGCATACAGGTTAAAAAAAATAAATAAATAGATGGATTAAGTTTATGGACATAAAGCAATTTCAAACATACCTGTGAATATCAGGTTGATGAAGACGTTGACAAAGTGTAGAGTCTTATGAACAATTTGAGTAGCAATAATCTTCGAATGTTTAGCATGTGATTTGCTCTTATCAAATGTAAAATGATGATGCTACAGGACTGGACTACATCGACAACTCCTAGCTTGAAGAAGTTAGGGAGTGAAGTGGTAGAGTGTGTTGACCACTTCACTTATTTTGGGGAATTGCATCAGCCAGTGCCAATGGGTTGATGGCTAACGAAATCGATGCACGGATACCGAATTACGCCATCTCTGGCACAGATGTGATATCTGGCTGGTTATCAACCAAAGGGCATATGTACTGCTCAGCAGTTCGCTTCATCCTCGTTTATGGCTGTGAGACCTTGCCATTAAAAGTGGAAGACATGAAACGCCTGACTAGCTGTCTTTGATTATAGGTGCCTGCTTTCTATCTCCTGTGTTAGGTGGTATAATAGGGCGAGCAATATTGAGGTTAAGCATCGGTCGAGGGTCGGGTAAGAAGAAATCAATAGACGAGGTTGTGAAGTAACACAAGTTGAGATGGTTAGGACATGTGTTACACATGACTAGCCTAGGCATCACCTTCCTCGACCAACAGGGAATGTTAGCTGACATAGGATGGATCAGGTTGGAAAAGAGCCAGTGGTGGTCAAACTAGAATATGGCTCCATCAGTCAATGAAATCCACAACAGTTAGATTAAGCCGGCCAGGTAGGGAGGTGTACACTGGCTTTCTCTGGAAGGTAAAAACCAATGAAGGCCGGAGACAATTGGTGATATGGCTCAAAATCGTTCTCAATGGCTGATGCAGATGCGTCCATGCTTTGTGACATAATATCCAATAAAATTCTATTCTTCCATATTACTATTCTGTTTGCCATATATTTGTTTACCTCCCTTTTGAATCTCTTCTCTTACTTTGTGTACTACATGGATTGTGGAAACTCGAACTGCTGCACATCTGGGCAAAGTTCTACGTCGAAAGCAGTCAGTCTATAGGGGAATCCAAGACTTAATTAAACCTGAGTGCTCAGAAATTACACTTATATATAAAGCTTACACCCCAGAAAGTTTAAGCTGAGATACAATGGTAATGCAGCTACGTAGTAAAAAACAAGAGGTGGTAATAATGCGGTGAGTTGAACTCGAATCATAGAAACAAAAGACAAGTAAAACTACATTACAGCCAAGGGGAAAGATGTGGTGAAATAAGAAGGGCGGAGTACAGACATTCATTTGTCAAGACAAGGAAAGACTAATAACTGCTTCTTTCTGAAAATATCAGTCGGTTTACGGGTGTTTGATAGCACCTGCTTCAACACACTTGAGGAGAATTGGACTATGTAGTTTCTTGACAACTTTATGGTAGGGTATTCATCTCATGGATCGTATCAACGAAATGCCTAGAAATGGTACTACTGGGAGTTTTTGTACCATTGAGACATTATGCCTCTTGGTGCTTATTCCAGGAATCTAAGGTATGCTGTTCTTTCTGTCCTCCCAATTAACTGATTGTACAGATATATGTAACTTTGAATCAACGGTTATAGATGACATAAGTAAAGTAACTGTCGACATTCACCAAACAGAATGTTATTTGAAAAACAGGGATCAAACTAGCTACAGGATAGGTTTTCGCTGGTGGGGTAATCAACCTTCTATTGACTATTCCTGTAATATTACCATTTTAGAAGTCGAGTTGTGTGAAGTTAGCCTCCTTTCCACTGTCATTTTTGAATATTAAAAACCTATAAAAATCACATCAACCATTGGCTGCCTTTTTTTTTAAAAAAAAACAGTATCCTATGGATGAAAGAATTGAACTTGAGCACTGTTGCAGTGCATACTCCCATCAAAGAACACGGTGATACAACATTACTGAATAAGAAAATTCCGAGTACAGTTTATTGCTATTCACAATCATATCAAGGCACTCGCATTGCTTTCAAACTTTGAGAGTAATGCGATACTGCTGACGCATACGGTTGTAGTCGCATTAAGATTCTCGCTTACTTAGTCAGAAAGTCATTGATGCTGTCTGCCCTCTCTAGGAAAAGAATGTTGAAGTGTCAACCGCAAAAACTGTACACTCTGAATCCCATTATATCAGTCCATAGATAGCGGTAAGACTTTTTGCATACACGAAATACTGTCACTGTCACATAAGTATCGTATGACAAACCTCAAAGAGTCGTGTTAATTACTCTGAGGAATACCCGAGATTAGCTACTTGTATGAAACAGTATTTTGTGGCTCCAGAACACGATGAATTTCTACTAAAAAAAGGAGACTACTAAAGTTGGTATTGAGTAGGCTAGTTTATTTTTATTTTATTTATTTTGATTACAGCTTGATGCCATACCGTATTTTAAGTACAGGTATGGAATTTTCAGCATGTGATAATATCGGTAGCCCAAATTTAGCAAGCCGACCATAGATATCGGGTGTGCGTCGGCAGGGGATCGAACCCCAGACCATGTGCATGGTCGGCGAGATTCCTAACCACGGTGCCACCAACGTACACCTAATAATTTCAAAGTGATGCTGACAGCTGATTCAACGGAGAAATAGCCACATTAGTGATATGCTCTGGGTTGTGTTCTTATTAGTGTTTCTGCAAAAAGATTAACTCTGATATTGCTATGAGATTCAGTTTTCATACTTTCCATACAATCAACTGCAGCTTTGCTGAGATAATTTTTTGTAATATAGAACAATTATGATCATCCATAGCCACGTGACGATATGTTTCCGAAGTTACATTTTTTTTACTTCATGTCTTAAAAAAGAAAGTATCACACTGAGTGAGATAAACAATTCCAGAAAGTGATTTTCACCCCATCCTCTTTTTTATTTACCTTCACACTCTTCTGGTGCCCTACAATACATTAGATTAGGACTCATCGTTTAATAATAATGCTATATTTATATTCAGTAACAGCAATTTTACGAAAATTCGTACAGAAGAAAGTGGTCAAATAAGTAAAACCACTACAAAATCAGTCTATCTAAGCAATATAATTCTATCCCATCACAAAATCATACTGCGCCTGGCTAAATTCACATATCAAGTACCCTGAATATACCCGATATATTGGTCTGATCTACGTAGCTAACCTAACAGTCATTGCAAGGTATTTTGTAAATTACATTTTATGGTCTAATTAGGTCTCCTAGGCTCACCACTGTATCCCTAAGTGAGTATGTAGGTGTAAATGCTAACCTAATTTCTGCATTATTAGCAAACCTATCTAGGATTGTAGATATCCCTTGTTTGTCTGGGAAGACTGTAAACTTTCAAGAGTTTGTGAAGATATGATCGATTTCAAGTTTGATCACGAATTGAGTTTGGTTAGACAATCAGCAAAAATCGGGTTGTATTGAACAGCTGTCTCATCCTGGTCCGGGACTCTTCGTCACTGCGCACTCACGACTCCACTGGGGTTGATATATATATAAATACTTGTTCAGCTTGTAAAACAGATTGATTCACTAGTTCCGATGGGAAAACTGTTCATACGAGTGACTGGTTGATTAATGGCTTCCGGAAATGCTTGATAATTTTAGTGCTACTGAAAACAAACTGCACTGTTACAAATATCAGCCATTGTGGAGTAAGTAGTGACTAGTTAACTGACCTAATATTTTCCCAACTGATTATAATAACCTAACTCTGAAGATTTTGAAATCAAGTGTCTTTCTAAAACATGAATATGTAAATTCAGCAGGTGTGTATGTATTTTAAACCGGAAATAGTCTATTTCCTTGAATTCTTTCCATCGCTATTCACTCAGTTAGCATCTATCATGTGTACATTCAAGTGATCGTTTTCTTCTTCTTCTTGTTCTGCTTTTATCGATCCCCACTTCCAAGTTATACGTGTTCGTGAATAACCGACAAAGTAGAACGGTG